CCGAAGAGAGGGGGCGGGGGTTGTACCGAAGGCAGAAGGGCAACAAACCCAACACCGTTCAAATAAAAAAGAAAAGAAAAAGGCAAGCAAGCAAACTAAATGTCATATCGACTATGCAGTCGAATGTACCCTCCATTACATTGTACGACCAACTCAAACGTACTTGAAATTCTCAAACAGGAAATTATAGAAAGTTAATAACAGAGACTACACATGCATGCCTGGTGTCAGGCAGTTTGCGATGGCCCAGCCAGTCAATCCATGACTTTGTGATCCATGGTGCACTTACATGGCTCCTGAGGATTAATGTTGTGTTCGCCACAATTTGAGCAGTCCATGAACTCGCCAAGCTCAAACTTTGAGTTCCAGATAAAGGCCTTGAGCCTGGAAGCTTTATGAAGCACACTGCTTGAGATGGCTGAAGTCTCATAACCTGATATATCAAGATACTCAAGCTCCTCTAGGCAATCCAGGAATTTTATTATTGCGGCACAGGACATATCAGAATTTGGTATCTCGAGCTTCTTCAGCCGCGGAAGGGACTCGCAAATTACGGAGGCCATATCTTCATCCACATAGAGAGCAAACACTTTCAGTTCCAGAAAGTCTGTGCAACATTGGTGCACATGGAGGAGGACATCATAATTAATGAGACTCTCATCCACCGCCATGCCTTTAAGTGACTGAAGTTTGGTGATCGCCATACAGAAGTCATCAGAAGTCATACATGTGGTAGGAAAGCTGAAATAGTGCAGGTTTGGGCTCCTGTATAAAACATCTGGAAAAGCATTTAGCTGCAATCAGTTTTTGTAACGACCATAAGCATGCCAATAAAAAATCCCGTGTCAAACAAATGCCGTACTGCCACATATAAATTATATACCATATTACAACATCCAGTCAGGAGCCCTGACTGCGGTTGACTGGGCTGTTGACCAGTCAAAAACCAGTGCAGGATTGTTTCTTGTCCGGTTTTGAAATTTGAGGTTGTAAAGTAGACGGTTTTGTAGTTCAGGGTTGTATATTAGACTTTGGTGGTAGTTCAAGGTTGTAATATTGACTTCTCTCAAAACCAAATGCACCTGAGTTTACAAAAATCATGTTGAATCAGTTTTGCAAGTTTGCAGGGTTTTTCACCGAAAATATCAGAACCACAAATAAAAATGCACTAACAAATAATATCATTCATTAAAGCATCATGACCAGATTGTCAAAAGATAAACATCAAGAACCAAATATTCAACTGACCACGTAAAACTTCTGACCAATATCTAGACGAACTTCATAACCATGATATGTCTCATTGTTCCAAACAGTAGATCACCTTGTCACATGTGTACACTAGGTGTGGCTTGAATGTACAGGTATGCAACCAACTATCAATTC